CGGGTGTTGAGACCACGGGCTCCCCATTTTTTGTGGACTATAGAGCTAATTTGAGAAACAACAACAACAACATACATGCCTGACAGTATCTCTGGATCAGCCTGCTTGTACGGCCGGCAAACAAACATCGAACAGAAAATCTCAGAGTGGTGTGGGGGCTTCTGTCTGCAGAAGGGTTCGTCACGGCGATCGGCGTGTACGTGCGATATCGTGGCGTGTTTTGCGGCAAAATGCCACAGGAGACAGGCAGCACGACGAGAGACAACGAGCACTAGCTGCAGTTGGTTGCTGCCTGGTTATTGTACCCTTTAGGCGCGATAGGCGGGACCACTATTAATCCATGGAGTCCAATACCACGGAAACTTCGACACAATAGCCCTAGAACACACCCCGGTGATATCGATAAACATGTTGGCTTCTCAAAAAACGTCACCGGTGTGTTACACTGTCTCGTCCTGTTTGCTCCGTTACTCCCATGCCCTGGTGCGTAGTGCCTGGTGCTGGTACGTTACCCTTTGATTTTTACTTTATTTAGGCGGGTGTGGGAAGCGTCCTCCTTTATTTTTGTTTTTGTCTTTTTTTGATCGGTTTCCGAGGGCTCTTTTCTCGAACGGTCGGTGCGGTACCCTTCCTTTTCTTTCTATCATTTTGTTTTCTTTTTCCGAGTGGTTTGTACCCTGTTCTAGTTTTGTTTCCCCGCGGCGTCGTATGTGCCGGGTTTTGAGACCACGGGCTCCCCATTTTTTGTGGACTATAGAGCCAATGTGAGAAACAACAAAAACAACAAACTGTTGTGGGTGTTGACTGGTATCTTGATCTATCTCTCACATGGCCCGAGCAGAACCGGGAGTAATTTCATGTTTTAGGCTCATGCTCACCCTCTATAGTGCCGGTTGAATAGTGCCAGTGTTTTCGGCTCGCACACACTGAAATATCAAGTCGTTCGGTATTGTGAAAAGTGCCGGTGCCCGGTATAGTGCCGGTCAAATCTCGGGACACCGGCACTATAGAGCGCCCCCCACTGCTGTAAGTACGTTCCGCCGGGTGTTGCACTGCTGTGGTGTAAGTAGGTACACAGACACTACATAGTGATGTTCGATTCGGTGGCTCACGGTAAGGAGCAGGGAGGTGGAAAGAGCGTAGCTTGGTAGAGATACACGGGAGACCTGTGACCAGCAGTGCGTGCGCGGTAACAAATGTACTTTTATGAGTGTGTGACTGCCAGCAGTAACAAAAAAAAGGCAAACAGCCACGTGCCGTGACGTCATTTGTTTCGACGGACACATGTCCTGTTTCCTGCATTATGATGTACTGCTGGATTCAAACACAGCAGTACTGTACAGAGTCTGGTTCTTCGTCGCTCGGCTTATTTGATTTACAAATCAAATCCAGGTTCAAAGCTGTTCGATCTTGCTCCGGACTCCGGACCTGAAGACCATCCCCGAGTCAGCTCTTCACGTGCTCCCCCAACATCATGAAGCGCATGCGGCAAGATACGGACACCGACCGACGCATCCCACCTTTGTCGGAACGCTGACGGAGAGGACAAAACTCACCTTGCCGGCCCCGTTGCCTCGTCTGAGTACCCGGGATACAGCCTGCCGTACCCTGCCCAGCCTTCTCCCAATGCCCCCGCGCGCCCTCCCTCCTTGCCCCCCCGCCCCCATCCGCAGCGTTCCAACATCAGCGCCGCCCGCCTCGCTCCTGCTGCTGCTTCTCGAGAACGCCCTGCTCGCAGCAGCAGCAGAGGATCCCTGCTGCTGAGGAACCTCCTCGCCCCATGCCCCCCTCCCCGCAGCAACCAAGCTCGCACCACGGCCGCTCTCCACGGGCTGCTGCCAGCGGACCTTACCCAGCGTGGCCATACGCTCTCGCCTAGCGTCTCTTCTCATGGGAATTCTGCTGCTGCTGCTGCTGCTGCTGCTGCTGTGAGTTGCTTCTGGTGCCAGCGGTTGTGCTATCGTGAAAGCTCGATGGGCGGCAAATGGCACCAGCACGAAAGCTTCGGAGCACCTGACGAGGGACAAGAGCGCCGCCGAGGCAAGCAAGGCGACCGAGGCCGACGAATCCCTGCGCCGCTTTGTGGCCCGGTTTGCCACCGAGCCGTTGCCCTCCTCCTTCGCCATCTTGATGAGCTGCTACTGCTGCTGTAGCTGCCCGGCACAACACGGCGTTCGCGGTCTGGATTGATTTCGTGGACACAAAAACAAGAGAGGATACAACGAAACATGCGCGGCAGCGCGGCAGGCAGACCGTGTTTCTGCGAGACGATGATTCGAAAAGCTGCCGGTCCAGCGAGCAGAGCATGCGAAAACAACCGGCACACACAGTAGTTTCGACTCTTGTTCGTCCTTGCTGCGGCCGCGTTCCTGATGCCCGAGCAAAAGATAGTACATGTAGTCTAGGTCATCGTGCGAAAGATGGCAGTGTGCGCGTTGTGTCTTGTTTTACCGACTCTATTTTTTGTTCCCTGTCTGCGGCGAAAATTCACCTGATACCTCCGGTGATGCGCTCCTCTCGACGACTCAACGAGTACACCTTTCGATCCAGGTACAAGATTAGTACAAGGCTTCCAATTTTCCTCAGGCGTGTGTTCACGAAAGTACGAGAGAGCGAGAGAAAATGTGGCCGCGACGAGCCGGAGGTGATCCCCTGGCGAACGAAAGATCATGTGCTTCAATGTGGGTACCCGTTAGTTCGCAAAATGCGCACGAAGGGGGGATGGGGTCATCTCTGTGTTTTGTCTTGCATCTATCCGCCGCATCACGTCCAAATTGTAGGTGGAATTCGTGCGTTGGGTTATGAGGCTAGCTCCTCTCTGCCTTGTACCTCCGAGCCTCACCCCAACTGCAGCCGTGGTATGGCCATGTGTCAACAACCATCGCCATGCCTGTGCCCCTACCGTGAGAGGTACCACCATCGCCCATCGCCTGCGAACGACGTACGCAGCAGCAGCAGCGGCACAAGACGGACCCGACAACGGCGCGAACACCGAGCGACTGCTCGCCCTCGGCCGGCAACAGACGCAGGCGGGCGATCTAGAGTCCGCCGTCTACCAGTTCGAGCGGGCGGCTAGCCAGGCCCCGCGGTCGGCTGTGTGTCAGACAGAGCTCGGCCGAGCCCTCGTCCGACTCGGCAGAGGCCAGGAAGGGTTCAACTGCCTCGTGGCTGCCTTCGGGATCGACTCTCTGTGTCCGGGCGTGAAGGACGGCTTCCGCGAGTACTACAGGGCTGAGATTGAGGTTAGGCCCGTGGTTTATTTTGCCCTTTGGTTACTTTCGCGAGAGTGCTACCTCCGCTGTGTGCTTCCTGGACGAAAGGATTAGAATGCCGACGAGGACACTTATCATGAGTCTCTGATACAAGCTGGTCCAGCCAAGACGCGTACCGTTAGTGACACAAGATAACACACCCCGGTGATAACATTTCTGAGTTTAAAAATATTTACCACCGGTGTGGTATCCTGTGGGGTGTGTGGTATCTTGTGTATCCCGGGTGATAAAGTGCAGCTCGCAGGGAGCCCTAAGGGGGGGTGTACTCATAGTCGTGCATGCCGTAGTCGTTAGACCATTGACCTCGCATCCCTACAAAGCCGGGACGGAGCACCCCGGATTCTCACCGGACCAGGCTCTCACATCACCAAGCGCGAAGCGCCGTGAGATATTCGGCGAGTCGCATGAAGGGTGCGCTGCATCCTGCTAAGG